TGTAAAAATTCTTGATTCTGTAAATTTTGTTTTTCCCAGTCAGCAGATAACAGCTAAGACCACAAATATTCTAGATGTGATCTTCATAAACAATGAAAAAATAATGGGGACATTACAATCTCAGATATCACATACTCGGATCACAAGCTTATTGATGTGCAAACTAATATCAGTATTCATAATTGGTCTTATAAAAATTATCAAGAGAGCAGTTATTCAATAAATTCAATTTAACTAATTAAAGGATAGATTGGGAAAAGTAAATATGAAAATTTCAAACATTTAATGGGAAACTGTTTTAAGTAATAAAAATCCCATGCATGGAATAGAACTGATGGCGGAAGTATATAAAGTCTGGCCTGAGGTATGTTCCTTTGTGGAAAATCAGAAAGAGGACCAGTTTAGAAAGAACGCAGATGGCACTACAGAAGTTCCCGTGGCGTAGAGATAAGTGGAAACGCTAGGTAGTGGTAGCCTGGTGTTTCATGAGTTTTTTGTCCTGGGTTCGTATCCTGGCCAAGGAGGATTTACTAGTCGCAAATCCTTAACTGTACCCTCTGTTTAACCCAACAGTAAAATCAGTACCTGGTTGTTAAACGATTTGGTGGGGTTGTATTCCGGAGTAACCTATGTTAGGATTAACCTATGTTAATTAACCTCAAAGCTCTCCAAATGTACTCATTAGAAAGGAGACGAGAGAGATGTCAAATAATATACATGTGGAAAATACTAGAGGGCCAGGTCCCAAATCTACACTGTAAAATAAGAACATACAGTACTGGAGTGAATGGTATGGAAGAAAATGTAGAATAGAACCAGTGAAGAGCAGGGATGCCATAGGCACAATCAGAGAACACTGTATAAACATCAGAGGTTCTCGGTTGTTCAACATCCTCCCAGTGAGTATAAGAAATATTGCCGGAACAACCATTGATATCTTCAAGAGAAAACTAGATAGTTTTCTTCAAGGAGTGCCAGACCAACCGGGCTGTGATGGGTATGTAGGCCTGCTGGCCGCCCCAAACAACAGCCTGGTGGACCAAACTCTCACAAGTCAAGCCTGGCCTCGGGCTGGGCTTGGGGAGTAGAAGAACTACCAGAACCCCATCAAGCAGGTATCAACCTCTGGGTTGCTTTTGCAATTATAGCCTGCAACACGCCCAGGTACAAGAAATAATAATAAAAACGAAATTGTCTTATAAAAGTGTTCAATTGTGTTCCCTGATCATGGGAAAAATAACAAAATTGTAGGTGGCATATTTTAGTTGCAATAGGATGGGAAGGTCTGGCAAAAAAGGGGGCCTGACAGCTGAGTGGACAGCGCTTTGGATTCGTAATCCTGAGGTTTCGGGTTCGATCCCCTGTGGAGGCAAAGACAAATGGGCAAAAAGTTTCTTCTCCCTAATGCCACTGTTACCTAGCAGTAAATAAATACCTGGGAGTTAGACAGCTGCTACAGGCTGCTTCCTGGGGGTGTCTAACAAAAGGAGGCCTGGTCGAGGACCGGGCCGCGGGGACGCTAAGCCCTGAAATCATCTCAGGATAACAGAGCAAGCATCGGAGGAGGACTGCTTCCCCTGAGCTGTCAAGCGGGAGTTACCACAAAGAAATTACAGTATTACCTAATTATTTCAAAGTGTCTGATTTTTTCTGTTTTTTTGCAGAAATATTATTCAATAGTATGTTGTGTGATATATTTACATAATAAAATGTGTAAACCAACTGTACAACTAAACTGGTATTGTGAGTCAAGACAATAATTGAGGTCATCACAGTGTCAGCTGACGCTCCCTCCCTCACTCGCCAACATTTCTACTCCCACTATACTGTTTGTGATATTTTTACACTATATACACACACATTAAATATAAGTATCTACATGTTTTATTCACCGTAACTGTACAACTAAGCTGGTATGGTGTCCAAACTACATAGTGGCCACAACAAAATCGCATGACAAGAGACAGCAGCCAGCAGATGACACTACCTCCCTCACCAAAATGGCTCCTCCCAACATACTGCAGTTCTTTTGCTGCTATTTCACTATAAACTCATGCATTATATATAAGTATCTTCATTTTGTGTTCACCATGACAAACCACTAAGCTGGTATGGTGAGTGCAGACAATAACAGATGGCCACACAGTCAGCAGATGAGCTACCTCCCTCACCATTACTCCTCCCACCATACTACGCACAGCGCTAATTATCACCACAATCCTGCTATTATCAGAATCCTGGTCATTTTTATCACAGTCGGGTCTCCTGTAATACTATCATCGCTAAGTAATACAAGTTACATATTTATTTTAACTTTTTAGGCGATGCTGTGGTCACAAACTGAATAGCAATTTTGTTAGCTCATGTTCTGTGTGCCAGCCTTGGTTGCTCACTCAGTACTGAGGCTCTCACACCCAGGAATGTTGCCCACGATTTTTTTTTAAATGGCATCTGTTTACAAGAGCCCTGAGGAAGCTGATGTGAATCCCGTGTACCCATAGGACTTTTGAATCTTGCGTGGTACTCCAACATGGCTATAGCTGTGGTACACAATTCTGCAACAGTTACTCACCATCATCAGAGGTCCGCGGTTGTTCGACGTCCTCCCAGCGACAATAAGAAATATTGCCGGAACAACCGTGGACATCTTCAAGAGAAAACTAGACTGTTTCCTCAAAGGAGTGCCGGACCAACTGGGCTGTGGTGGGTATGTGGGCCTGCGGGCCGCTTCAAGCAACAGCCTGGTGGACCAAGTTCTCACAAGTCAAGCTTGGCCTCGGGCCGGGCTTGGGGAGTAAAAGAACTCCCAGAACCCCATCAAGCAGGTATCACCCCAGGTATAGCCGGGGTTCGCACTATATGGGTTAAGGAATTGCCCGAAATGCTATGCGTGCTAATGGCTGTATGAGAATGTAAGAACTCTTGTATATACGGGTATAAATAAATAAATATATAAAATAAAGATGGATAAAATGCCAAAAATGCTTTAGCAGACATGACTGTCCCATCAAGGAAGGAATAATTTAAACAGAGAGATTGAAGAAATAGAACAGAGACTGAAGCAATCATATCAGATTGAAGAAATGCAACTGGAACAGAAAGCCAAACAAGAGATTTAGAAAAATCCAAAATACTAATTAATATATGTGAAATCTAAATAAAAACAACTGTCAGTATTGGACCTATACCAATTGGTCTTGCCTTATACTGAAGATAAGATACCTACGAGTGGAGGTTCATACACAAAAGATGACAAATAAATTAGTGAAATCTTAAAAAAGCAGTATGAGGACCTGTTTAACACAATGAAAGTGGAAGATTCAGACAGTTAATGTATGTATGATATCCAAACTCCTGATATAATATAACTAATATCAACATGAGCGGGGCAGATTTTGAAAGAGAAATTGACAACATGCCTATGCACTTGGGCCCCGGGTCCAGACTCATGGAATTCAATATTTATAAAGAAATGCAAAGTGCCAGTAGCATAGACACTCAGTATAGTGTGGAGGAAGAGCTTGGACATGGGGGAGAGATACCAGATGAGATTAAATCAGCAGATATAGCTCCTCTACACAAGGGAGGGAGCAAAGCATTGGCTAAGAATTATAGACCAGTCGTATTAATGTCCACATAATAAAAGTTTTTGATAGTGATCAGGAGTCGGGTCACCAGTTTTATGGAGACCAATGACGGCCTGTCTCAGTTCATTTGATTAATGAGAAATCCACATGGTGCGTTCCAGCTGCTTCTTGCACATTCTCGGACGCCTCCGACGATGCAAATAAAAATTTTTTTTTTTTAAAGATGCTGGGATGTAAAAGGGTGACTGCTGTAATGTTGCAAAGCATTGACTTTTTTTGTAGAATAAAAAAAAATGGAAAAAATTTGAAAAAACGAACAAATGTCAAAAAGGTTAGTTTGGTGTTTGTCAGGTAGGCTGCTCCATTATTAATAAATAAATGAAAAATACAAACCAAATTGAACACATTTAAAACAAAGAAAGATGGTCATATTGGAGCAGCCTACATGACAAACTCCGAACAAACCTTTATGACATTTGTCCATTTTTCAAGTTTTTTTTTTTTTTTTAAGAAACATGGAGCAGCCTACCTGACAAACACCGAACGAACCTTTTGTATAAAAAAGAAAATTTAACAGATTTGAAAAATGGACAAATGTTGTAATGGTTCTTTCAGTGTATGTCAGGTACAATGCTCCATTATTTTAAAAAATCGAATATCATATTGATGTTTTTCGGTGGTGGAACGGATTATTTTTATTTCCAATATGTTAAATGGGGAAGTTCGTTTTGAAAGACGGACATTTCACATGACGAGCATGGCGCCGGAACGGATTAAATTTGTTATTCGAGGCACCACTGTACAGTACTAAATAGTCTTCCAGGCTCAGTGCCATCTTTTGATAATTAGTTATTGTACAAGTACAATATACTGAAGAAATTTAATGTTCATTATTGTCTGATGATCAAACCACATACCAGAAGATGAAGAGACGACGATGTTTTAGTCAATCCTCGAACATTATCAAGTCAATTTTGTAATCACAGTCGACTTGTTAATGGTCCAAAAAGAACCGAAACGTTGTTGTCTCTTCATCATGCGGTGTGTTGTTTGATCATCATAATCTTCAGCCACGTTATTGTGACTCATCGTGTTAATTATTGTATATTGGAGGTTACCATTTTGACAGCCTCTTACTGGGTCTCTTGATTGATGGCTTAATTACAAAGGATTTGGATTATCAGTTAACAGAGCAGTAATTATCAGTTAACATATGCAATTTGATATGACTATATATTATGATAACTTATTAGATAATTGATAAATAATGTAAATTATAAATTTCTAAAATGCCCTAGCTTTGTCAAGGAAATATTACATGTAATGAAGTAGCCAGATTAAAACTATTCAAAGTATTAACCTATATATTTCATCTCTAATATGACTATAAATTTGAATTAAATTTCTTTTTAGGTTCCCAGGCACTTATCTGCATCAAAAAGTGGCATTCGAGCACCACACCCTCAGATCCCCCCACCAGCCCACCAGCGCAGACCACACATAATTCCTCCACACAACCAGGGACTTCGTGCTCCAGCTGTCCACCTTCGCCCACTTCACTTAGCGCCTGTGCACGTGTTTGCATACCCCGTGCCAGCTCCAGCAGCTCACCACAATCCCCATCCACCACCAGCTCACCAACAGGCTCATCCCCAGCTTCATGTTGCCACACCAGCAGTGGCTGTAGCTGAAGCCAATGGCTACCATCACCACCATCACCATCACCACCACCATCACCACCACCACATTCCCCATGCTGCCAGGTACCCCGAGGCTGTCCTCAATCCGCAGCCTCCAGCGCAGCCACAGCCAACGAGGGAGAATCTCTTGGACCAAATCAATGAATTTAATGAAATCCTGCAAGTGGTAAGGAGGAGAGATCCTGGTGTGGTATATCATGGTGAAGCTGCAACATGGATACAACAGAACCAGGTAACTTAATACTTTTGTTGACATGCTTTTGGAGGTACGTGTACAATAAAGTGGGGGAATATTAAACCTTCTACTGTGCATATAATATTTGATATACTGTATACAGTTTGTAATGTATGTATGTATGTATGTATACTGCATTTGTATGTATGTATGTATGTACGTACGTACGTATGTGTGTAATGTATGTATATATATGTTGAAAACCCACATTTGAAAAATTACAGAATGCTGAACTTGTTTTCAGTCTAGTCTGGCATTTCTCAGAGCAAGATAGAAAATAAGTGGGCAAGTGATTTGACCGCTTCCCTTCTCTCTCACTATCTTGGTTGGTCCTCATTTGGGACTTGTGGTCAGCATCACTTTTCCTGCCTCTGGCGGCTTCACCCAGCAGCAGCACCACTGTTGGTGTTGAGTTGACTCTGGGTGTCTTAGTGGTCGCTTGAGCAGCTGTGCGGAAGCCTCAACTTTGCCCTCCTTGTGCTTCCCTTGGGCAGGATTTGGTTTTGAAGGTTGTTTTGGTTTCTCCAGCTCTTTTGCTTCGGCTGCGATCACTGGGTGCGGACTCCGGAAGCCCTTCTCTGGCTATTGCGTTGCTGGCTTCCTCTTTGGGTTTTTTAGGTTCAGTTCCCTGGCACCTTCCTTTGCCCTTGCTCGACGTCTTCCCGGTGGCCTCCGATCTCGGTTGTGGCTTTGAGGCCAGCGTTCACAAGTTGGGCGAGGGCCATGGTCCCTCGCATTTGTCAGGCTCGCAGTACTATGTGGGAGATTGTGACTGTGTCGCTTATGCTGCACAGGGTTCAGATACTTCCGGGCTCCATAGTCTGGCTCCATTTGGACTGTCTCCCTGTGGCTCATTCTTTCAACAATGGGGGGTTCTCTTTGGTTCCTGTCTCTTTCAAGCTGGACACTACATGTACCTTGTCTTCTAGTTTCTTGGGGTTTGGCTGTATGTGCTGTTCATGTTGAAGGGGTGTCAGTGTCCTGGCCGATGGTTTTTCTCGGGTCTGTCCCGTCTCCATGGACATGTGTTCTTTCTTTAGCTTTGCCGGACATTCAGGCGCCTGGACATGAACCTTCATGTTGGCGTCATTGCGGGGCCTTCTTTTTATACTGTTCCATTCATTCCGTGACTGCGAGACTCTTGCAATGGATGTCCTTTGGCAGGACTAATTGAGGTGGGGGTTTCTGTATTTCTTCACCTTCGGTCCAGCCCTTGCTCTGGGTCCTGGCAAAATTAGAGTCCTTCAGGGGAAGAGTGATCCTTCTGGCTCCCTGATGGCCAGCCTAGCCTTGGTCTCAGGTGCTGCCTGTTCGGTGTCCATACAAGCTGTTTTCTCCCAGCTCCACCTCTTTCTGCAGATTGGTTGGGTGATATACCTTGCTGGTTCTGCCTTCTCCGATGCATGCGTCTTTAATTTTTGATATGTGTTTATTGCCATCTTTATCGTGATCAGGTGGCTAGTTTGTTTATGTCCTACCTGTGGTCCTCCTCTCAGCAACAGCATGTAATCTCTTGGCAAGCTTATTGTCATTTCCTTTGTCTTCATCATTCCTCTCTGGTGTCAGTTTTGTTGTCTCCTGTCCTTTCTTGGTTTTTTCTGGTTCAGCTTCTTAAAGCTGAATAGTCGCCTCATCTCGTGCTGCACTGGTGGAGCCACATCAGCATGCGTTGAAAGTTGATACAGAGCACCACTTGGTTCCCGAACTTTAGTTATCCGAAACTTCCAGTTTCCCGATTAGGGTTGGGGAGTCACGCTACACGAACTAAGTTCGGATAGGAAGTAGTCCGCCAAGCTTCACGCCGGCCAATGTTGGGGTTTACCCTACACGAACCAAGTTCGGGTGAGGAAGCGGTCTGCCAAGAGTTGCGCCGGCCCATGGTGGTGGGTGGGTGGGTGGTAGATGGTTTAGTTTGCCCACTGACCGTGTTGGGCGCCACCACTCTGGTGCCTGCTACCCTGTGATGTCACAGATTCACGGCCTATTGTTCCCATTGTTTGAATTTGTCATGAGACTGGAGTGTTCATTCAGTGACTTTGGTTTACATATCAGCACAATCAAGGAACATCCGTGCACCATGTCGACTCCAAATGCACGCATTGTGTCAGTGAAAGCATCTACAAGCGGGTTACGTAAAAGAAAGAGGTCAGTGATGACATTTGAGAAGAAAGTTGAAATAATTAAGGAGGTGGAGAGCGGTGTCCCAAGAAGTGTCGTGTGCGCTGAATATGGCATTAGTAAAAGTACTGTTTTCATCTTCTTAAGGCTAAACCTATCATTTTTTACTATTTCTCTAGAAATGAAAGTGATAAGGCAATATGGAATAGAAAGGTAGTAAGTAAAGCAAAGGTGGAGAGTGTTTATAACGCAGTGTGGGAGTGGTACAAACAGAGACGTGAGGTGACGAAGAAGCCAGTGGCAGGCTGGCTGCTCGTGGAAAAGGTACGTGAATTTCACCAAGCAATGAAAATTACTCTAAAGTTACAGCGAGTATGAAACTAAGGACATGATGAGTCAGTAAAATTTGTACATGAAGTTTTTAAAAACAAGAGCCAAGGGAATGAAACAAATGTCAATTAAAGAGTCTTTTGCAATGGCTTCCAAGAAAGCTCATATTGCATCACCTGTACCTGACTCATCGCATGTTGACCCAGTCAACCCAACAACTTCAGTCAACCCAACACCATCAACATCCACCACCACCTCTTCCATGTAAATAACTATGCTTCATCAACATAAGCGGATCAGGACTTCAATTATTGGTGAGTAGAAGCAAAATACGGTCGCATTTACGCTATGAACCTGTCGATTTTTCCCCTAGAGTTTTTTCATAAATTTTTCTATTTTTTTTCTCCATTTCTCGTTTACGAACTTACATGTTAACCGACGGGTCTCGTCCCCAAGGGGTTCAGAAACCAAGTGGTGCTCTGTACTTCCTTGGCCCCATTTCATAAGTTTTCTTGGGCATTGTTTCTGGTCATGTGCTGTTTAGCCTACTTGGTCTTTGGGCTGTGTTTTTTTTTCTTCCTTTCTTCTGCTCATTTTACTGTCTCCGTTGGTCTGTGATTGTTTTTGTGAAGCTCTGTTTTTGCTCTCTCCTCCGGTTTTCATGTGGAGTGAGCTTCTTACTCTCCTTCAATGCCCGGGTTTTTCTTCCATCAGCCCTGGGATCTTCATCGCTCATCTGTAGTCAACTTCGTTTCTTGTGGAGCTAGAAAAGAATGTGTCAGTTTTCTCCAGAAACCAACCAGAGAATATGTCGGTTTGTTTCCGGAGGGGTCCTGTTGTGGTTAATGGTAGGTTGCAACCTACGTCCAAACAGAGGCCCAGAACTCACCCTAATAGAAAACAATGAACAAGTGACACCTCACCCAAATAGTGAGTCCGCTTGTTAGCGCCTCCCCTCCTATCACGGGGTGTCAGGGGAAGGGGGGAACCCTGCTCACCTGAGCAGGCCTCACCACCCTCAGTTCGTAGACTGATGTGTGCTAGGTGTCGGATCTCCTCTCTTGCCTCATTATTCTTGTCTGGCTTTGTGTTTGTACCCTTGCCAGCTGAGTTGGTGTGGTGGCCACATGTTCCTACTAGTATACTGGGCTGCATGCGCCTAGGGTTCCCTTCCCTTGGTGCCCGGTAAGTACCCTGTACTTCCCTTGCGGGTCAGGGTTACCTAGCTTGTGCTTATCCCCGCGAGTACAACTAGGTGAATACTCTGGGGGGGGGGGGGTGAACAGGAAGGAGATGTGTGATTTCTGTCTGTCCAGTGTTGTCTTGGCCACCTACCTGGTCGGCCGAGCGAAGGAGCCGGTCGGCCGAGCGGACAGCACGCTGGACTTGTGATCCTGTGGTCCTGGGTTTGATCCCAGGCGCCGGCGAGAAACAATGGGCAGAGTTTCTTTCACCCTATGCCCCTGTTACCTAGCAGTAAAATAGGCACCTGGGTGTTAGTCAGCTGTCACGGGCTGCTTCCTAAGGGGTGGAGGCCTGGAAAACGGGCCGCGGGGACACTAAAAAGCCCCGAAATCATCTCAAGATAACCTCAAGATATATACCCACCTGTTCACCCACTTGCCTGCTCGCCCACCCACCTGTAACACCATAAAGGTGTTTTATAATACAACACGAGTCAGCCAGACAGGATATTTGAAAGGAGCCAGGTTGTCTGACCTTATCAAATAAAAAGTCACACCTCTAGAGTGTTAATTACAACCGGTCTAATGGTACAACAGCCTAGTCGACCAAACTCACAAGTGAAGCCTGACCTCGGGCCGGGCTTGGGGAGTAGAAGAACTCTCAGAACCCCATCAACCAGGTATCTCCCAGGTAATCAACCAGGTCAGGTTTTGTGAATTGACCTTGCCTTCCGCTAAGCCGATAATTGCAGACGGCTGGCTGGGTTGTGTCCATCAATCAAGTCACTGTTTAAGGTGTGGTAGGTAGAGAGCCTGAGGCTAACTACTTAGCAGGCGGAGCTTAACTCCCGGTTCTCCCATAAATACCCAGGGAGATCATTCGAGATGAGAGGAGATCACACAGAGGATTGAGCAGCAGCGAGAGTTGGATCAGTCAAGAGGTCCCAGCTGCCAGACTAGCCTCCTCAAGCTAGGGCAGTGACTCTGTCAATCTGTAGCCCCCGTCAGGCCAGGGCGGTGACTCTTTGTCAATCCATAGCCAGCCCCTTCTCAGGCCAGGGTAGTGACTCTGTCAATCCGTAGCCCCCTCTCCCCTCTATCCAACGTAGATCCAGAGACTTTGGTGAGTTGAACTTAAGGTGACTTATTTCGTGTTTTCCAACTTAAGGTGTTGTGTGATTATCGGGGCAGTCAGCCCCTGATAATGTTTTCAAGTGGATAATGTCTCAAGTGCCACGAGCCAGGTTCTGGCTCGTGGTCCCCGGGAGCCCACAGATCTCCATACACATGACTGATGCCAAAGTCTGACATGTCAGACTTTGAAGTCAAAGTCTGTATATCAGCTCCTGGGAGCCTCTGGGTCACACCCAGAAAATGGCATTTCATAACATTCAATGATGTTTTTTTTTCAACAAAACTTTGCAGTTCTTCCCATACTGCACACATTTACTTAATGAAGAAAGGACTTCATCTACTGCCTCTACTCACAACTATCTTCTTAGGTTGAACCTTACCACTGACTATCTTGGGACCCATGTCAAGATATATAGTAATTACTTTTATGTTCAGAAACCAAAAAAGCACAAAAACAATGAAAATCTTCTTAAAGAATTCAAGCACAGTTGTCACTAGGCAGGACACACTGGTGAACTGAGGCGTACTGAGGGAGCCGGTCGGCCGAGCGGACAGCACGCTGGACTTGTGATCCTGTGGTCCTGGGTTCGATCCCAGGCGCCGGCGAGAAACAATGGGCAGAGTTTCTTTCACCCTATGCCCCTGTTACCTAGCAGTAAAATAGGTACCTGGGTGTTAGTCAGCTGTCACGGGCTGCTTCCTGGGGGTGGAGGCCTGGTCGAGGACCGGCCCGCGCAGGGACACTAAAAAGCCCCGAAATCATCTCGAGATAACCTCAAGATAAGATACTTTACTAGCTCCACCAGAACCATACGCTCCGTCGACCCATACGTGTTTCAACAGACTCGAAAAGTGAGGCAAACCTCGATCACCGAGTCGAATTTTACAAAGAAATTGAGCTCGTATACCAAAAAATTTGTAAAGAGGGGCATTCGGCCATCGAGGTTCCACTGTATTTTATCTTGCTAACCTTCTATTCAATACTGTTCTATACTGTGTCTTGTTTTGTACAAGTTTAAAACTTTTTAAAGTACAATATTCTTTCAGTGTCTGGCTTACTTTTCATTCCACAAAACTTTAGTCCTGTTCCAGATCTGTTATATTTTAACAAACTCTTTCTTCAGTTCCTTATAATGATGATCCAAGGTATTCTTAGGAACCCATAGGTCAGCAACAGCAGCAGCAGCAGCAGATGCAACATCACATGCAGCAACTGCAGCAACATCAAAAGCTGGTGCAGCAACAATTGCAACAGCAGCAGCAACTCCAACAACAGCAACAACTCCAACAACAGCAGCAGCAGCAACTCCAACAGCAGCAACAACAGCAGCAGCAGCAACTCCAACAGCAGCAACAACAGCAGCAGCATCAACTCCAACAGCAACAACAACAGCAGCAGCAACAACAACCACAAAATCAAAATCTACAAAACCAGTTCCAAGAAAATCGGCAACATTTAATTAACGCCGTACCCAACCAAAATGAGCCTCGGAATCACCACCAACAAAACCCACCTGCTCAACAGGATCAGGCTCGTATTCGTCAGCATCAACCGAACCCAAATGTATTAGTTCGGCAGCAGAACAATCCTCGCCCCAATCAGAGACAACAAATTGAAACACTTCTTGACAAGTTTCAAGAGTTTTGTGATATGCTATGATTCTCGGCAATTGATAATTGTTTGTTAATGCTAGACATCAAATATTAAAAGGAAACTGTTTAGTTGTATCCAGTTTTCTGTCACAATAATCACATTATGATTATAAGTACAGTAGTGCAATATTATATACAGGAGAAAAACCTTTACATACGTGTGATTGCGCAGACAGACAGACAGACACAGACACACACACACACACACACACACACACACACACACACAGACACACACACACACAGACACACAGACACACACAGACACACACACACACACACACACAGACACACACACACACACACAGCATGTGTAGAGAAAAAGCAGAGAAACTGTTACTTGTATGGACAACTTTGACCACAAAGAGAAAGCCAGTTTTATCATTTATCATAAAATAGCTTTCTAAGTGGTAGCCTGTGATTCAGGTCTCTAGTGAACATTAAATATTGGATTTCCAGCATCAACGCTGTGTATATTATGGTTCAACATGTCACGTTTCAGAGAAGCTGAATTTAGTAAAAATAAATTCCTTTGTGTTTATATTTTTAGTTGATGTAGAGTATTATGTTATTTTTGTATCAGAGCTGTGTGTAGTATTTTTTTAGTCATAAAATAGCAATCATTGTTCTTAAACCTCAGGTAAAAACAGGTATTTTGTTTAACTTCTTGTTTTTAATATAAAGCTGCATGTACTATGTGAGTGATGGTAAGAGTGTTAGATCATACAGATTACTGAACAAAAATGTAGGAGAGTAATGTATGGGAAGTTTGAGGCCTCCATGCTGCATAGTTGATACATGTACAGTACACGAATGCCAATCCTCAAGCTGTGTGAAATGTTTTGAAATCCCTGAAAGAAAAGGAGGGGGGGAGGGGGTGTGTGGGATATGTTCAGTGTTGTCTTAATTTTGTTATAGACTATAGTAGCACCATTGGTCAGGTTGGGAAGCAGAATTTGGACTTGTATCTTGAATGTTTGTTGTCTGGTGGTCACATTTGAGCAACACACTGTGCTCAATTTCCAGCCTTGCACAGTCTCCCATTGTTTTTCATTCTCATAAACTGCATTGATCTTAGTGTTTGACAATAATTGAATTGTGTCAGGGCATTGCTGGTATGTTTGATTTGCTGTTTTGGATCTAGAATTATCAAATTTTAATTAAAATTGAAGTTTAAATTGGTGAGGTCATACTTCGTCATCTGGCGTGATATTCTACATGCATACTGTACTCATGTCCACTACATAAACTGTCCACTCAATACACAGTCAGCTAGGTCAATATTTGAGAATTATTGTCACAGTGATTCACGATGTTTGTTATAGTATGTACAAAAACCCGTTTACCATTGTTCTGTATAATTTCTGCTTTATATTTTGTATTAAATTTTGTTGTTATTATTATTTCCTTGTGATTTATGCTCTTCAATAACACAACACATGTTGAGAAGTGACACCTTGTAGAGTGCCAGAATAACACAACACATGTTGAGAAGTGACGCCTTGTACAGTGTCAGAATAACACAACACATGTTGAGAAGTGACACCTTGTACAGTGTCAGAATAACACAACACATGTTGAGAAGTGACGCCTTGTACAGTGTCAGAATAACACAACACATGTTGAGAAGTGACGCCTTGTACAGTGTCAGAATAACACAACACATGTTGAGAAGTGACGCCTTGTACAGTGTCAGAATAACACAACACATGTTGAGAAGTGACGCCTTGTACAGTGTCAGAATAACACAACACATGTTGAGAAGTGACACCTTGTAGAGTGCCAGAATAACACAACACATGTTGAGAAGTGACGCCTTGTACAGTGTCAGAATAACACAACACATGTTGAGAAGTGACGCCTTGTACAGTGTCAGAATAACACAACACATGTTGAGAAGTGACACCTTGTACAGTGTCAGAATAACACAACATGTTGAGAAGTGACACCTTGTACAGTGTCAGAATAACACAACACATGTTGAGAAGTGACACCTTGTACAGTGTCAGGATAACACAACACATGTTGAGAAGTGACACCTTGTACAGTGTCAGGATAACACAACATTGTAAACACAACAAAAGAATTTGTTTGGTAAATAATTTGTTCACCAGGAATTTTATTCAGATATTCATAAATTTATGTTTGGAATTTGTAAGGTTTCTTAAGTATTTAAAAATAATAATAATTTGGATTTTGGAGTAATTTATGTTACATTGAATTATTTATTCGTTCATGATGGGCTCTGGGTATGCTCAATAATTGGACTCTTCAATAATTATTGCAGTCAGTTTTCTCTAATGGATTATTGCTATATTTTCCTTTGAAATGTTTGTTGCAAGCCTTCCCTGCCAGACTTAATATGGTCTCCTTTAGTAAGAACTTTGTGTCTGCCTTCAAACTCCAATTAAATTCTCACCACCTTTTTTTAGAGTGCCTTAGATCCTTCTTGCATATTCCTCCCTCAAGTGCGATGAGTTGGGTTGCCTTGCACCCTGGTCGCATGTTTCTCCCTCCTGTAATACTGGTCGGGTACCTTGCACCCTAGTCGCATGTTTCTCTCTTCTGTAATATGGGTCGGGTACCTTGCACCCTAGTCGCATGTTTCTCCCTCCCATACTATGTGTCTTGTGCCTTGTGCCTTGTACCCTGGTCGCATGTTTCTCCCTCCTGTAATACGTGTCGCGTGCCTTGTACCCTGGTCGCATGTTTCTCCCTCCTGTAATACGTGTCGCGTGCCTTGCACCCTGGTCGCATGTTTCTCCCTCCTGTAATACGTGTCGCGTGCCTTGCACCCTGGTCGCATGTTTCTTCCTCATGTGGTACCTGTATGGTGAATTCAGTGTGGTAGCCATATCCCAGCATGTTTTTTTGCTCTAATTAGTGTACTTCTGTTAGTATTAACCTGTTAACTTTGATGAGGATTAATTTGATGGTTTTAATTTGTATAGATATATATTGGGCCTTAGTAAATGTCTTGGTTACAGTGGTACCTCCGTTTTCTAATTTAATCCGTTCCCAGAGACGCTTCAAAAACCGAAAATTTGAAAACCAAAACGAATTTTCCCATAAGAAATGATGTGAATCCCTTCCACACACTCAAAAATATTAACTTAAAAATACATTTTATACAGATTACTACTCATTTTTTTCATACACAAAACAATCAGGTATAAATATGAACCATAAGTAAAATAAGTGAACATTTAACTGCATTTTACCTTTACTGAGGACTCTTGTTGGCGTGTGGGAGACAGTGAGGAGGGGGGAGGGAGGGGCGGTGTTGGTGTATGGGGAGGGGGAGGGAGGGAGGGAGGGAGGGAAGAATGGTGTTGGTGTATGGTGAGGGAGGGAGGGAGGGAGGGGGAAGGAGGTGTGACCGTCCCTTGTTCACCTTAAACACGTTCATATCTACATCACTGGTTCCAGATTTCTCTTTCACACATTTCACTGCCTTTGTTATGTGGCAGTCAGTCAGAACCAGTCAGTCACAGCATGTCAGTCAAGCATTTAGTCAAGACCAGTCACAGGCAGTCTTAACCAAAGGTAGTCAAGCATTCACTGTTGTGGTAGCAACTGATTAAGCATTTTCGGTCGGTCACACATTTACAGCCAATCAGGCATTCACAGTCAATCAGGCTTTCACAGTCAGAACCAGTCCATTAGTAAAAACTATGAGTTTAATGACAGACGCTCAGGAAGTCTGCCTCCCGATCCAACAGCTGGTAGCATGGAAGTCCACCGTGTTAATACTGTTCATATGGCTAGAAGGGGTACAACTGAAGGGGGGGGGGGGAGGAAGTAGGGAGGGTGATCAACTCTGCCAACCATCTCACTGCTGCCAGCCTGCACACACTGACACCTGCCTGACCACTGCTGCCCGCGAATCCACCCACTTTGCCGCCCACCCCTCCACCATCCACTCATCCAGTTCCTTCCACCATCCATCCATCCAGTTCTCTCCACAATCCATCCAGTTCCCCTCCACCATCCATCCATCTAGTCCCCCTCCACCATCCATCCATCTAGTCCCCCTCCACCAATCATCCATCCAGTCCCTCTCCACCATCCATCCAGTCCCTCTCCACCATCCATCCATCCAGTTCCCTCCACCATCCATCCATCCAGTCCCCCCTCCACCATCCATCCATCTAGTCCCCCTCCACCAATCATCCATCCAGTCCCTCTCCACCATCCATCCATCCAGTTCCCTCCACCATCCATCCATCCAGTCCCCCTCCACCATCCATCCATCTAGTCCCCCTCCACCAATCATCCATCCAGTCCCTCTCCACCATCCATCCATCCAGTTCCCTCCACCATCCATCCATCCAGTCCCCCTCCATCATCCATCCATCCAGTCCCTCTCCACCATCCAGTTCCCCTTCACCATCCATCCATCCAGTCCCCCCCCACCATCCATCCATCCAGTCCCCCCTCCACCATCCAGCCATCCAGTCCCCCCTCCACCATCCAGTTCCCCTCCACCATCCATCCATCCAGTCCCCCCCCCACCATCCATCCATCCAGTCCCCCCCTCCACCATCCAGCCATCCAGTCCCTCTCCACCATCCAGTTCCCCTCCACCATCCATCCATCCAGTCCCCCCCCACCATCCATCCATCCAGTCCCCCCTCCACCATCCAGCCATCCAGTCCCTCTCCACCATCCAGTTCCCCTTCACCATCCATCCATCCAGTCCCCCCCCACCATCCATCCATCCAGTCCCCCCTCCACCATCCAGCCATCCAGTCCCCCTCCACCATCCATCCATCCAGTCCCCCTCCACCATCCATCCATCCAGTCCCCATCACCATCCAGCCATCTAGTCCCCTCACCATCCATCCTGTTGTCCTCCCAAATACAATTTTCAAGTGCGATCGTCACTAGGCGGGAGACACTGGTAAACTGTGTGTGCCTTGTCCCATGCCCCGCCCCTCGCCCAGTAGAACAGAATCACGCACTCGTCGACCCACACATGTACAGTATCAACAAACTCGAGCACCGAGGCAATCCTCGAGTACAGTCAAATTTTTCTAAGAAATTGAGCTCAAGAACTGAAAAATATGAAAACTGGGGCATTCGAAAACTGAGGTTCCACTGTATTATAGAAATAGGAACTATGTGTAATCAGCTACGTTTTGAGTAGAAACCAGGAGGCTAATTTATTGATCTCTTAGATTTTCTTTGTTGCAAGATGATGAGAATTGTAAAAAACGCGACATAAAATTGTATTAGCTTTTGTATGGGCATTCCTGTTCTTTAACATTTAATGTTGTGTGGTCGACTCTGTAAAGTTGGGGGTATTTTCAACATAATTTATTTACTATACAAAGAAGATAAGTTTGAAGGTATAACAAATTGAATGAGAATAAAGACGCATGTTTGAAAGTTACTTGTACGAATGTTTGTGTAGTGGAATGGTTGAAGTGTAGCTCCTAAACTGTTTCCTTAGTCTCCCTGGCTTGGTGCCAGTTTACTTAGCCTTCCTGGCTTGGTGCCAGTTTACAGTCTCTCTGGCTTGGTGCCAGTTTACACAGTCCCCCTGGCTTGGTGCCAGTTTATACAGTCTCCCTGGCTTGGTGCCAGTTTACACAGTCTCCCTGGCTTGGTGCCAGTTTACACAAGTCTCCCTGGCTTGGTGCCAGTTTACAGTCTCCCTGGCTTGGTGCCAGTTTACAGTCTCCCTGGCTTGGTGCCAGTTTACAGTCTCCCTGGCTTGGTGCCAGTTTACACAGTCTCCCTGGCTTGGTGCCAGTTTACACAGTCTCCCTGGCTTGGTGCCAGTTTACACAAGTCTCCCTGGCTTGGTGCCAGTTTACACAGTCACCCTGGCTTGGTGCCAGTTTACACAGTCTCCCTGGCTTGGTGCCAGTTTACACAGTCACCCTGGCTTGGTGCCAGTTTACACAGTCTCCCTGGCTTGGTGCCAGTTTACACAGTCTCCCTGGCTTGGTGCCAGTTTACAGTCTCCCTGGCTTGGTGCCAGTTTACACAGTCTCCCTGGCATGGTGCTTTCTTTTTATATTTCTTAACCCTTAGACAGCGGCTATGGAGAAATGGTCATACCTGCCTATGCACACAAAAAAATACAGAATTATTATTTTGTATGCAGATTATAAGAAAAATACTGAAATATGTGAATATTAATTGTTTCAGTGGGTGGAGGGACTGTAAGTGTGGGTCTGGCACTTGTCAACGCCTGGTGGGCGATTGTTTCAGTGGGTGGAGGGACTGTAAGTGTGGGTCTGGCACTTGTCAACGCCTGGTGGGCGATTGTTTCAGTGGGTGGAGGGACTGTAAGTGTGGGTCAGGCACTTGTCAACGCCTGGTGGGCGATTGTTTCAGTGGGTGGAGGGACTGTAAGTGTGGGTCAGGCACTTGTCAACGCCTGGTGGGCGATTGTTTCAGTGGGTGGAGGGACTGTAAGTGTGGGTCTGGCACTTGTCAACGCCTGGTGGGCGATTGTTTCAGTGGGTGGAGGGACTGCAAGTGTGGGTCTGGCACTTGTCAACGCCTGGTGGGCGATTGTTTCAGTGGGTGGAGGGACTGTAAGTGTGGGTCTGGCACTTGTCAACGCCTGGTGGGCGATTGTTTCAGTAGGTGGAGGGACTGTAAGTGTGGGTCTGGCACTTGTCAACGCCTGGTGGGCGATTGTTTCAGTAGGTGGAGGGACTGTAAGTGTGGGTCTGGCACTTGTCAACGCCTGGTGGGCGATTGTTTCAGTAGGTGGAGGGACTGTAAGTGTGGGTCTGGCACTTGTCAACGCCTGGTGGGCGATTCGCCAACACTTCCTGATTTATTCTCAGCTGTTTCACTGATTATTTCTATAGCTTGTTTTTTTCATTATTCGCATCCCCAGAGAACTTTTATATATCCATATTTGCATCACACATGTAAAGACCAGACAATAATTGTTTGAATCATCATATGATGATGACTACAGTCCCCTGTGAATCATCATATGATGATGACTACAGTCCCCTGTGAATCATCATATGATGATGACTACAGTCCCCTGTGAATCATCATATGATGATGACTACAGTCCCCTGTGAATCATCATATGATGATGACTACAGTCCCCTGTGAATCATCATATGATGATGACTACAGTCCAACACCTGACAATAATTACTGTCTAAGGGTTAAATAGCTTGTGTTCATTTTCAAGCTACTAGACTGTGTGAACGAATCTAGTAGTTTGAGAACTTACATGAGAACTGCATGTTGCTGGACTAAGTTTTTTTGGTCTGTGTGATATTATAATTTTAAAACAACTGTATTTCAGTGTTATTCTTTTTTTCAAATCTTTAAAAGTGTTAGAATCAATTAAAAAGTTTATTGATGCATCTTTGTCCTTGTGTGTGTACTCACCTATTTGTGCCTGTAGGGTAGAGCTCCAGCTCTTGGACCCCACGTTTCTAGCTGTTCGTTGTCAATGCAATGACTCCTGGCCCACTTTCCTATCATTCCTGCTTTTAAAGTTATGAATGGAGTTGGCCTCTACAACCTGCTCCTTTAGGTCAACCATTTACTCACTACCCGCACGATAAAGGAAATCTTTCTAACATCTCTATGACACATCTGAGTCTCAAGCTTTCATCTGGGCATCCTTGTTCTATTGATATTCATTGTAAGCATTTCTTCTGTTTCCGCCCTGTCAGTACCTTTAAGTATTTTATGTCTGTAACATATCCTCCCTCTCCCTCCTCTTTTCTAACATCATCAGTTTAGTTCCTTAACACACAGTTCGTACCTCATCCCTCACAGCTCTTGAGATGAGTCTTGTTGCGAACTTCTGCACCTTTTCGCACTTTCTTGTGTGTTTTTTAGATGGGGCTCCAAGATGGGGCAGCGTACCCTAAGGGTGGCCTTATGTAGGCAGTATACAGTGATCTAAAAGCCTCCTTATTCAAGTTTTTGAAGGATGTTCAAACTTTTGCCAGCATGGAGTATGTGACTGATGTTATTCTATTCTATATGAGCCTCTGGAGTTAGGTTCAGTGTTATGTCCACTCCGAGGTCTTATGCCTTTCATTTTGTGTGGGTGTGTGTGGTTTAGGAGGGAGTGCATGTACTAGCTCTGACAAAACATAAAACAGTATCAAAACATTTGTCTGAAAACAGAATGTGTTGAAAAAATGACTTCTTTGACTAATTTTGTTTGCAGAGGCAGAAGTAGAGTACACATTGGAGTGCATAATATCTTGATGGACTCATTTAGAAGGTGGAACACGGAATTGTGAGCAGATAAGTGGCATTTAAAACATCATCTC